TACGGATGGTGAAATCCCATCAGAAGTTTGACCTGTGCAGGGTGGACAAGCTCAATGCGGACGGACAGATAACCGGACGGACAAAAGAAGGCAAACATAATTTTGGGAGACATAATAAAGACTTACAAGAGAAAACCTCAATGCATTACTTCTTTTGTTTCTTTCGTTTCGTTTTACGGCGCAGCAACAGAATTTGAGTCATATGGCGCCGAAACAGGAAATATGACTTTGGATAACCTTAGGTGTTACACACAAAGCAACACCAGGGATCAAAACACCTCATCTGCTGGAGCTAAAAGATGCACAAGGAGAATGCATTATTTCTAGTACTTATGTAGAACCACTGACCATAACTAGACAGTTTGATAACAGTCAGTAATCATGTGGCTTAACATACAAATAGTAAAATTGTTGGGGAAAACAAATAATAAAAATACATATACAAATTTTATGTTATTAAGAAAATCAGAACAATCAAATTTCAATAGACAACATAATTACGTGACTGTATCGTTTAAATTTTGGTCGTGTACATGAAGAAAAGGAAATTATCGTGTAGAAGGGAAACATCGTGACTATGAATAAAAAAATCGTGATTAAGAAATGAGATAGTAATTTGATGCACTTGAAGTTTCTGTCTATAGCAGGAAAAATAATACACTAAACTAAAATGATTTGAATGACTTTGACGTGCCTTGAATTTGAAACTGTCGTTTAGTTGTTCAAGAGACATGACGTTCAATACAACAGTTTTATTACAGAGTATGGCAAAGTACATGTTGTATGGCCTTATGATAATAAATATGGCAATACAGAAGCCGTCCAAGCACAACAGTGGTAGCGCGGGCAAATAGCTATTGTCATTCGTTCCCAAAGAGTTTCAATTTCTAATACATTACTATAAAACTTATGTTGTAGGTCAGGCCAGAACATCGGTCAATGATGCGATACCAAGCTCGGCTTCATATAAAATGGTTATAAAGAAATTTAATGGCTAGATACCAACATATTGATGATAAATTATTATAATTTTATAATTTTTCTGTATTCTATGAAATACAGGTGTCTACATTAAAATAAAACATATTCTTTTCTTTTAAATTTGTTATATTATTCACAGTTACAGCTCTGGAAATAGTAAAATTTCAAATCAAAACAACTCCTTAATTATTACATTTAACAATTCAATTGACTCTCGGGGATAGAACTTCAAGTAAATATTCTAAAAAAGAAACGTATTTTTTCTTTACAAAACAAGAAAAACAGTGAAGAAATTGCACGAGGACTAGAAAGCTAGATATAGAGTACACTTACTAAACTATACCCACAACCCAATCTGATCAACCCAAATAGTAACAAGCACAGTTTTCATGAAAGAATCACGCAGATTTGAAAGATATGCATGAAAACTCAAACGTTGTAATTATAAAATGACCGCTGGCACGAGAATACGACCCTTTACCCCAATTTTTAAAAACGATGTCAAAAGACATTTACATTGTCTTAGACGTTTAAAATTTTAAAAAAATACATCAAAGTGTTGAATATACATGTAAATGTGAGCAAGTTAAAGATCCTGTATATTGTAATTGAGATTGTATACCATTTTTTTTTTAATGCGTTTATTTAAGGTCGCCGCCGGAAAGCCCATATGGGCGACCGTACACTCAAGTCGGGTCATCCTAGAGCGTCCCGCCGAGATTTTTCGTCGATTTTTTCCAGCTTTATTGGTGGAGGAAGACCCCAGGTGCCCCTCCGGGCATTATTTCAGGCACGAGCGGGCACCTGGGTAGAACCACCGACCTTCCGTAAGCCAGCTGGATGGCTTCCTCACATGAAAGATTTCGACTCGAGTGAGGATCGAACCTACAGTGGTGAGGGTCCTGTTGTATACCACATTTAAATGAAATTATGTATATGTATATAATAATGCTTATAAAACAATTTCAAACATTAAAGAATATGTAAAATATGAACTGCAAATATAATTATGTACATATTATATGTAATCATTTAAATATATGCATTCATTTCTTATTGAAAAACTTGACTTATAATTTATAGAAAATAGTTATTTTATTACCTCCCTTTATTACATGAAATGTTAAATTCGGTAATATCTTTATAAATAATGATTTTGGGAACTTACAAAATTTATAAATCTTAATTTGTGCATCATATTTATGATATAAAACCATACAGAATTTGTGTTACAGGATCTTTAAGACAATAGGATTTCTGTAGTTTTTATTTAAAATATTTCAATAACTAGTAAACTGAATATATTTTTAAAAGTAAACCCGTCGTTTGACATAGATAGATAGATTTATTTCAGTATTCAGTAAATAACATGGTAAAAACATATCCAATACATGATAAAATAATAAAAACAAATATCAATGTAAAGAAATGCACCATATCAAAAACATCATACCAAGGATAACACAAGAAAGAGAACTTAATCTCTTATTTCCATTGTGGTCCTTAGATACTGATGGTTTTGACAAAGAGAGGCATGAAAATGACTTATCACAGTTTTAAATTAAAGAAAGACAAAAGTATACATAAAATTTTCAAATTAAAATCAATTAATAAAAATAATAAATATTAAGACTAGAGGATAGACACCCTTAAAAGAGATAATTACCCATTAAGTAAATGTTTTTTAACAGATAATTTAAAATTGTACAATTTTGATTCCATCCTAATAGAAGAGGGTAGTTTATTCCACAATACACATCCATTGTAAGCAAAAGACTTTGATCCGAAACCTTTGACCTTAGGTAGCATATAACAACCACTTTCACTTGACCTGGTCCTGTAAGTATGAACAGAATCTAATGGAATAAAGTTTTCTCCCATATATTCAGGGGCAAGTCCATGTTTTATTTTAAAAACATTACATAGAATGATTTGATCAACTCTTTTCTGGACAGGTAGCCAATTTAAAATTTTAAAGTGTTCATTATCAATATGTGACCTATAACCAAGATTTAGAACAAATCTTATCAATTTATTTTGTGTGACTTGGAGTTTATCCTTCCAGTATTTAGTAACCCCAGGAAACCAGAAACAACATGCATAATCAAAATGACATTGGATGAGGGCCATAACCAGAAGTTTTTTAGTGTGAAAAGTGAGATAATCACGTTTTCTATACAGAAACTTTAACCTTGCATTGGCCTTTTTAATAATAGAACTTGCCATTGCTTCACCAGAGAGAGACTGATCAAGTGTTGCACCTAGATATTTGACATTAGAAGTTGACTGTATATCAGTCCCTTTACAACTGACATGAAGAGATGAACCTGTTTTTAACCTATGTTTAGAGCCAAATAATATTGTCTCTGTTTTGCCTAAGTGAAGGGAAAGTTTATTGTCAATGAACCATTGACTGACAGAATGTAGTTCATCTGTCAGTTCTTTTTCAATAGATGACCTATTTTTACCTGTAACAAGAATAGCAGAATCATCTGCATAAAGAAGAAGTTTATTTTTAACAACACGTTAAGTGTAGATTTCTCATTACAACGGTCAATTCTGGTATTAGGTGTCAGGTTTGAATACTAACAATTGCCAAGAAAGTTTCAAATATTTTGATGGTAAGATATTTTTTTTAATGATTCACTTTATAAATTAATTTCGATTTGTTCTGAAAGTATAAAGAGATTTTTTAAATGATTCACATTAATGACATTTAATAAAATGAACACTAACTCATACTTGTAGCACACTTCAAAACAATAAACAACATGAGTTGTTAACGTTTATAAACTTGTAGTGAAAAAACACAAATGAATGTATTTGTAAAAAAAGCAGTATCTAAATAAGACTGCATGAATTTATAAAATGTTTAAATTATTCAACGAGGAAATAATATGACAAGAATGTTTGTAAAAAAAAATGTCATAAAAAACTTTCCACCAACATTTGTATCTGAATTAATTAACTAATTCAATAAAAAAAATCACCAAAAAAGCCAAAACAAAAAACAAAAACAAAAAAAAAACACTGCAAGATATCATTATTGCGCAAATTTTATAAACAAAATGATAAAAAAAACTGATTAAAAAAAAGATTTAGCTCTTAATTTATTAATATCTATAGTTCCGATTTTGTATAGAGAAAGAAAATCCTTAAACTATCACACTTTTTCGAACAATTGATATGGCACATGGAAAAGATAACTCTTATCATCTTCAATTAATTTAGTAATCAAGAGTTATCTCAGCTTGCCAAGTGTGAACATGACAAATTGTAAGCAGTTTAGAAAACAATATAGAAATCACATATACATGACCCATTTTCTTGTTTTCTAAAAAAAAATAAAAAAAAAAATAAAAAATCAAGCAATGTTTTACATTTAATAAGAGATAAAATGAAAATCAATATGTTAAAACATAAATACCCAATTTTAATTGTTAAGCTGAGGTTGTTGAAAATGAGGAACAGCGCAAAAGATACGGCTATTAAAAATCTTGATTATCTCCCTTCCCTGACATTTTTCACACTGTTTTGAAATTAATGAAATATATAAATAATATAAATTTAAGACAACAATAGCAGGACTACAGTACAAATAATTGGACTTGATTTGTCAACACAATTACTAATATTATCTAGCTAAATGAATGTATTACAAACTATATTTAATTATTTTTTTTATTATGAAATCTGAATTATTTAAAATATATTTTTTCATACGTTTTATTGACTAATATTCATCAGCTTCAATATAGAAATATTTATAAGTTATATAAATAAGTTTTAAAAAATCATGAATATAACACCCTTAAAAATATACAAGTGTACTTGCAAATGGCTCATCATATAACAATGTGAGCTTTGTTGTGATATGAATTTTGGCCTACTTTCACTTTGGACAGACTTTGTGAAAACAAACTTTGCTGACATTTAGCGGAATCACCTTAAATAAAATATATACAAGTTCAGTAATGATGTCTTTTTGCATTTTCTCAAAGAATGAACTGGATCCACGGTGCATAATCCATATCGGTACCCTCTTTGCGAAATCTGCTGAAACGGTACCTTATTTGCACATGCAGAGGTCATTGCTTTTTAAAACAAACCAGCGATGGATAACAATCATGTAAAATTTCATTGTAATAAGGAAAAGAGGTACAACACTTAGAAAACATGTAAACCACGGAACACTAGATTGTTTTATTTATGTGCTGATTTGTCATGTGCCCGTTTTTCATGTACTGCAACTTCATAATAAGCTACAAAAATCGACATGTCTTGCCTTGTCCATCACCTCGACATACTTTTCGGGCTGCAATGAACCTGTGACTTGATTATAATTTTTATATATGCATTATACATATTAAATATGTTCATTTACATATCATCTTCGGACAAATGGCAGTATATATTGTCAAAAATAAATGTAAAATTCATAAACACCCTACTTTCGGTTTTACAGCGGCACGTGCTACCTCTCTTCATTTGAATTTTCATATAACAGGTACCCTATCATTTTTTAACACATAGGTACCCTCAAAGCACGACATATAATTTTATTTGCAATATGCTTGTATTTTAATCGTTAACTGTTAAGTATGTAATATTTCTTACTTTTATGTAAAAGTCTTTAGCTTAAATTATTTCACACTAAGTGGAGTGATGAATATTGAATTCATAATTAGTTACAAATTGTAATTTCCATAAATTATGTAAATAACATTTGCTCAATAGTACATATGAACTAACTGTATTGGTCAGTCATTTCTACTTAAGTTCTGTTTGGAATGACTCAAAAAATTGCCTCTTCTCACTTTTTTAACATGCTTATTAGTCATAATTTCTTAAGATGTTATTTAACTGTTATTTTAGAATAAAAAGATTAAGGCCTTTACTATCTATTTTCAGTGGTACCAAAAAGATGGTAAATTGGTAGTGTTCAGTTCCGGGCAAACATTTTCTTCAAGTAAGACCATACATTATATATGTTAGAAAGTTAAAAAGGAAATGTTCATTGTTTATATATATATTTGGTTTGAAAATCTTTGTACATTTCAATTTTGACCAAATAGTTTCTCAAAGTATTTATTTGACATTAACTGACATAATTAGTGGCATATGTTTCTAACTTTTTATTTTCAGGAGGTTCTTGTCAGATTGATGAATGTGAAATTAAGAGGACCCATTTTGAGAATGCTTTTATGAATGGAATCCAGAGAGATAAAGTCTAAAATGTGATACTGTCAATGTGACTAACCTTGAAGTAAACAGATGACACAATGTTTTTTCAATGTCATAGGCATATAATGAAGAGGTACATGATTATTTGTATACACTTTTCCTTATTAAATACTTTCTAAATGTTTGACATGTTTAAAGGCCAACATAGGACTCAAGGCTTATTTAAAATCAGTAAGCTTGGCACTAAGAGCCAAATTATGTATATTAATTATTTCAATATCATTTCATTATGCAATCTGTTGTTAATTAAGGAACAAAAGTCGATAGCAAAAACATTTGAGCCGTGTCATGACAAAACCAACATAATGGGTTTGCGACCAGCATGGATCCATGCATCCGCGCAGTCTGATCAGGATCCATGCTGTTCGCTATCAGTTTCTCTACTTGTAATAGGGTTTGTAAGTGAACAGCATGGATCCTGATCAGACTGCACGGATGCGCAAGCTGGTCTGGATCCATGCTGGTCGCAAACCCATTATGTTGGTTTTGTCATGACACGGCTCATTTGTGACATGTAATTCACTTAAATTGTATTTTGAAATTCAAGTTTTCATTCCTTTCACCTCAAGGCATTTGACATTGAAATAGTGACTTCATGTAGTAAGCAGTCTGTAAAATCTAATCATCTCATCTTGACTTAGCTGTCTATAGATTATCAGAATCACTCACATTTACAAATTTATATGACTTTGAAAAGTTGTGTTACTAAGCAAATAAATAAATTTAATTGGGGTGTCCATAGTCAAAGTAATGTACCTAAACCACTTACCTTTAAAGATATACTAGGCTCATCAGTAAAATATTTTAATCATGAAAATTTATTGAATTCTATGCAATTCTTTTTGAATATGTCTAATTTGAATGAAATAATGAATTGACTATGCATTGGAAGCCATGTTCCTTCTTACGGGACAAAAAAAAATTTGGTCCTTTCTTAAAAAAACTGTCAGTTTCCTAACAACACTATATATTTATATTGTGACCACCTATAGCGTGTTGTGTTTTAACATTACATAGCTACTTTATGTAAACACAAAACATGCTTATTTTATGTTTACAAAGAGACTGTGTAGCAATTATCAATGTTCTATTATATTTAATATGGATTCTTTAATGTGAGAAAGCAATCCGGCTAGCTTTAAAAAAAGGCGGTGGTTCTACTCAGATGCTCGTTTGTGAAATAATGCACAGAGGGGTTGAGCTCATGCATTGGTCGCGCATTTTTCGGTTATATACCTTTACAAATCAGAGTCATTCTAACAAAAAAAATGCTGAAAAAAGGTTTACATACAAGTATGGAATATCTTGGTCAGCAATAAACTTTTTCAAAACTATATTTCAGAAAACAGAGATGCTTGTTTGACAGATACAGTAATAGTAGGAGTTATGAGGGAAGATAGATTGCAGCGATAACTATATTGAGGCACCACTTTATCACCAAGAACATGAGATGACTTATCAATGTTTTCAATGTGTTTGAACACCCATTTTAAATAACACAGCTCAGAGTGAATTTTTCAAAATAATTAAATCTGTTTTCAAAGTTTTTTATTAAGATGTAAGTTGATCTTGTCAAGTACTTTTATTTTTTTAGGGATGGCAACAAATATAGAGGATATTTGTTTGTTTTGCATGTAAGATTGAAATATAATTTCACTGAGTGAACACCAGATGCAATATTTTCACGAGTGGCGTAGCCACAAGTGAAAATATAATAGCTGGTGTTCACGAATGAAATATATTTCAATCTAATATGTAAAACAAATAAATTTTCTTTTTATTTCATGCGTCTTAAGTGATTTTAAGTAATTTTTACTGATTTTGCTTCGTAACGTCACGCATTCTCCTTTGTGATGTCATCACATCATGATGTCACATCAACAAGTTTGAAATATCATTCTGTTAAATTTCTCTAATTTTGTTACATTTTTAACTTAATGTATGGTGACATCGACTTTCTTTTACAAAAGAAGCAAAATTTAGGCATGACGGCATTTATTTTGCCTGTTATTCCATTCAGATTTGATTTTCTTTTCATCTGCATTCAGATATAGTCCGGCTACAGTGAAAATTATATTTTATAATTTTCACTAGTGGTTTATCAAAATATAATCATCTGATATATTACAATAAAACACTGGAAAGCATGAAATAAACTAAAATCAATATTCGAGTACTCGGTCATTTTTCCGATTGAGTATTCGGTTACTCGGATGATTTCCAATGATCTTTAAATTTTTATCACACAATATCAACACCGTCTACATGCTACCTTCATTTTCTATTTTAATTCATAGAATTTGTAGCTATAAATAGGATTGCAAGAAATACATATAATAAATATAAACATAAGAAATGTCAATGACAGCATTTATTATATACCTATAAATTTTCTTCCTAAATCTCAGGATAATCTTGAAGCGCAAATAGGCTTCAACGGTTAGAAAATTCTGTATTATGTTAGAGACAAATACAGTACCATATATGGAAGGGCTGGACTATTTTTGACCTTGGTTCTGATCTTAGCTGTGTATAACGTAGTATTTGGAAACGGCAACCAAAATAAGAAAAGGTGTGGCAGGTTTTGCACAAATTACGTATTCATCTGTCAGTCATAAATTTATTTCTTGACAGCTACATTTCTTTTTCTGAAATTTCTTATATAAGTGTAGTATAATGAAAATCATTTATACTTCAAACGGAAAGGTATATAATAAAAGGAAAATTATGTTGTAGTAGCTTTCTGAGGCTATGCATTTTTTTACTTGAAATGTTGGAAAATTGATATCTCGCTCGACCTTTGGTCTCGCAAGATATCAATTTTCCACCGCTGCTCGTAGCAAAATACAAAGCCTCAGAAAGCTACTACAACATGATATTCTGTATATATATTTTTTTATAATTAACAAGTTTCGGCTATCCTTGAATTTTTTTTCAAACCCCACAAACAAAGTTTAGGGGGATATATAGGAGTCAGCTTGTCGGTCGGTCCGTCGGTCGGTCCACATCATGGTTTCCGGACGATAACTAGAGTTTGGAATGAGGTATTGTAATCAAACTTGGTATATAGCAACGCTATGTGGAAACTCTGGTTGGTATTGCATTTGGACCCACTGGGGTCAAGGTCACCGTCACTAAAAATAGAAAAAGGGTTTCCGGACAATAACTAGAGTTAGGAATGAGATATTGTTATCAAACTTGGCTTATAGCAAGCTTATATAAAGACCTGGGTTGGTAGTGCATTTTGGGCCCCCCGGTGTCAAGGTAACTGTTACTGAAAATAGAAAAATGGTTTTCCGACATAACTTGACTTAGGAATGAGATACTGTAATCAAACTTGGTGGATAGCAAGCTTATATGAAGACCTGGGTTGGTGTTGCATTTGGGCCCCCTGAGATCAAGATCAAGGTCAGCGTTACTAAAAATAGAAAAATGGTTTTGGGACAATAACTTGACTTAGGAATGAGATACTGTAATCAAACTTGGTGTATAGCAACCTTATATGAAAACCTGGGTTGGTATTGCATTTGGACCCCCTGGGGTCAAGGTCACCGTTAAGAGAAATAGAAAAATGGTTTCCAAACAATAACTTGACTTAGGAATGAGATATTGTTATCAAAGTTGGCGTATAGAAAGCTTTTATGAACACCTGGGTTGGTATTGCATTTGGGTCTAGGTCAAGGTCACTGTCCGGAAAAATAGAAAAACGATTTTTTGACTATAACTAGAGTTAGGAATGAGATATTGTAATCTTATTTGGTGTAAAGGAAGTTTATATGAAGACCTGGGTTGGTATTGCATTTGGACCCCCTAGGGTCAAGGTCACAGTTACAGTGTTACTAAAAATAGAAATATGGTTTCTGGACAATAACTAGAGTTAGGAATAAGATATTGTTATGAAACTTGGCATATAACAAGCTGATATGAAGACCTTGGTTGGTATTGCATTTGGGCCCCCTGGGGTAAAGGTCAAGACCCTGTTACGAAAAATAGAAAAATAGTTTTTGGACAATAACTAGAGTTAGGAATGAGATATTGTAATCACATTTGGTGTATAGGAATCTTATATGAAGACCTGGTTTGGCATTGCATTTGGACCCCCTAGGGTCAAGGTCACCGTTAAAGTGTTACTAAAAATAGAAAAATTGTTTACGGACAATAACTAGAGTTAGGAATGAGATATTGTAATCAAACTTGGTGTATAGCAAGCTTATTTCGAGACCGCAGTTGCGATTACAATTAAAGACGTTTTCGGTAGTTTTCTGTGCGCATCGTTATGCGCTTCCAAGAAAGATAATCACGGATAATTACTCTTCAAATGAAGGCCAAGTTGAATAGTATTCGGATAAGTGTTTAAATTTCGGCTATAAGCAAATAATGAGTAAATAATACAGAATAGATATTTCTAAATGTTCAAAAGGAGATCGGTTCAAAAGAATAAGTCGTTTAGACAACATCATATAAAGGATTTCTCCAAGCATTAGTACGACAGTATTGATGATAATTCTGCGCGCGTTACCCCACCCACTTGTGGTATAGTGACGAAAGTGCGTCGCGACTTGATTACTGGCAGACAGCTGGGCAAAGAAGTTTAAAATGATATATTTTAAAAGTGTTGAATAAAAAAAAAAAAAATTAATATCTAAGAAATGTTCCGAATTTCATTATTTTCTTTGTAAATTTCTGAATACTTGCTTACTGTTCGGGTATGTTAGACGAGTGAAAAAAATAGATATGTTTTAAGAAGATATTCAGTATCATTTACTTAATATAACATCAAAAGAAAAAGAAATTTTTATTACAACATGCTTTTGTTGTATATTTGACAATACAATTAGTATAACTCTGATATTTCTTAAGAAAGCGTGGTAATTTTGACAGTTGGCATAATGCGGTAACCATGGAAACTGCCCGTTTACAAAAAATTAACACGTCAACATATAATATTTTATTTTTATTTTTGAATCCACCATCAAATGTTACTTGATATATCAATAATGTAGAAAATTCTATGAAAGAAATTGCTTGATGGCTTTAATTTTTTTACAGAATTCATGTTTATTTTTTTCATTTTTTGCTTAGTTAAAAAGCATGAATACTTAATTTTTAAAGAAATATGTTCCAATTATCGTTTGTTTTATACAGAACCCTAAGATAAAGCAAGCTTTGTGTAAAATTATGTTTATTGTGAGTGTAATAAGCTATTTTATACATTATTATAACAGTTTGGCTATTTTGACAATTTTGAGATATACGGTTACCATGGAAACTGCCATTTTTCAAAAAATCCAACACGCCAACATATATTTTTCTTTTTCTTTTTAGTCCCCTACCGGTTTACCGGAGGGGACTTTAGGTTTACCCTCCGTCCGTCTGTCCGTCCGTCTGTCCATCTGTCTGTCCGTCTGTCTGTCAGTCCGTCAGTCCGTCCGTCCACAAAACTTGAAAAGTACTGAAAATATTTTTATGAAACTTGGTATATGGATAGATGGCAGTATGGAGATTATGCACGTCTTTTTCTTTTCTTCCTATGTTGAAAATTCTGGTTGCTATGGCAACAAATAGGCTAAAAATATGGCAAATTTTACACATAAACTGGATCCAGTGATAACGCAAAAAGTACTGGAAATATTTTTATGAAACTTGACATATGGGTAGATGGCAGTCTTGGAATTATGCACGTCTTTTTCGTTTCTTTCTATGTTGAAAATTCTGGTTGCTATGGCAACAAATAGGCTGAAAATATGACAAATTTTACACATAAACTTGATCCAGTGATAAAGCAAAAAGTACTGGAAATATTTTTATGAAACTTGACATATGGGTAGATGGCAGTCTTGAGATTATGCACGTTTTTTTCTTTTCTTCCTATGTTGAAAATTCTGGTTGCTATGGCAACACATATACTGAAAATATGGCAAATTTTACACATAAACTGAATCCAGTGATAACTCAAAAATTACTGGAAATATTTTTATGAAACTTGACATATGGGTAGATAGCAGTCTTGAGATTATGCATGTCTTATCTGTTCTTCCTATTTTGAAAATATATCAGTTGCCTTGGCAACAAATAGGCTTAAAACATGGCAAATATAACAATATTTGTGATAAGTCAAAAAGAGCTGAAAATTTTTATGAAATTGCATCTTTAATTCAAGAGTTATCTCCTCTTTAAGAATTTTGCTTTTAAAATGTTATATTTTGGTAACAGGGATGTTTCAAATATTAACTTTAGAGTGTCCTTCAGTCCGTCTGTCTGTCTGTTCATAAAAACTGTTTCCTGTGATCACTTTTAGAGAACTTTTCCAACAAGTTTACTTAAAATAGAGAAAAAATTGAAACATAAGTGAATGACCAATGGCCCTCCAGAATGTTGATGGGGTTCTAACCGGTAGGGGACTTATGGATTGCTTGCAATACTATGATAATTGCTTGTTGAATTTGTCATTAAATTTTACACAACATACAAAAAAATTAGAAAAATCCTATGAAACACTTTTTTCAACATCTCTAATTTTTCTCAGAATTCATGTTTATTAGTCCCCTACCGGTTTAACCGGAGGGGACTTTAGGTTTACCCTCCGTCCGTCTGTCTATCTGTCTGTCCGTCTGTCTGTCTGTCTGTCTGTCTGTCTGTCTGTCTGTCAGTCCGTCAGTCCGTCCGTCCACAAAACTGGATCCCGCGATAACGTAAAAAGTACTGAAAATATTTTTATGAAACTTGATATATGGATAGATGGCAGTATGGAGATTATGCACGTCTTTTTTTTTTCTTCCTATGTTGAAAATTCTGGTTGCTATGGCAACAAATAGTCTGAAAATATGGCAAATTTAACACATAAACTGGATCCAGTGATAACTGAAAAAGTAACTGAAAATATTTTTATGAAACTTGAAATATGGGTAGATGGCAGTCTGGAGATTATGCACGTCTTTTTCTTTTCTTCCTATGTTGAAAATTCTGGTTGCTATGGCAACAAATAGCCTGAATTTCAAGATTTCTGATTTAAATTTTTCAGCTTTTTCACTATATGTTCTTTTATTTCTTAAGGTGTTTACTTCAAACTTTACATATAAGTTTCTGGTCATCAACCGCATCATATGTGAAAGGTTTTTTATAACTCTAGCACAAAAAATTATCAGTATTACCTCCTTGAACTTAGATTTTTTTAGGGGGAAAAAATGTTGTCTTTTTTTAAATAACATCTTTTATTTCCTAATGTATCTACTTCAAACTTCATATATATGTTTCTTATTATCACTCAACATTTTTGGAAGGTTAAATACTCTAGCAAGACTATTTCCAGAATTATGTCCCCCTTGAACTTAGATTTTTTTCGAGAAACAGGTATTTTCACTCCAACTTCTTCATTCCTTATAGGATTTACTTTAAAATCCCACATCGTAATAATATGACAAGGTTGTATAAACATAATTTCCTTACTAGGCATGGAAACTTAACACATTACTGTGATATAGACAAACTTAGAACTCAAAAGATTTAAGTTCATTCATGTCATTCATTCACTGGTAAAATTGAATGTCAAATGGCCCATCAGAATGTTGCTGGGGTTCTAACTGGTAGGGGACTTATGGATTGCTTGCAATACTATGATAATTGCTTGTTTTTCTCATTTTTTTGTTCGGTTGAGAAACATGGAAAACTCATTTTTTAAAGAAATATGTTCAGATTATCATTTGTTTCATACTGAATCATTAGATAAGATTATATTTGCATAAAACAATGCTCGTT